CATCGAATTTCCCACAATCGATAAAGTTCTAGTATTATACCATCTTATCATATACGCCTTAACATCACACAAAGCAGGTAAAGCTCTACACAACATATCGCAATTTACACGAAAGCGAAATTAGCTAATCGTAAAGGTTGTAATGAGGGATGTAATGTAACAGAACCTAAATATCGTGATATTGTATCATCAAAAGTCTCACAATAATATCGTGTGCAATCATAATATATCAAATTTCAGAAAGTACTACATATACCATGATCCTTTGCTCTATTTCAGTCCAGTCTACATGATTTACATCTCAATTATTTGCATTATGACAGAAAAGTAACATTCACACTGTTATTAGTCTATGACAAATGTTGCAATAAATATCGTACCGTAAGATGAAAATTGTGAAAATATCGTATTGAGAGGTTTAAATATCATCCCTAGTTGTAATGAGAGATGAAATATTGTTCTCTGTAAAAAATAAACACATAAAAATAAAAATATTCTATAAAAAATATAAAAATAAATAAAAAATAATATATATTTTTTAAATCCATAAATATACTGTATATTTTAATAGAAATATCTTGGTGTTAGACAAGAAATTCATGAGTTCCTGTATTAGTTTATTAGTTCATATTTCAGGCTTCTCTCAGATGTTGAAGGAGCACTGCGTAACTTTTCAGGTGGAGGGTCCATCACCTGCTTGTTTCTATGGATACATCATTGCTCTGCCTGGAATGTTCCACAGTATGACATTAAATAGCTCGTTCTTACATTTATTCAATTACACGTGGTTTCATAGCTTAAAAATACCAAGAAAAACATTCTGACTGTGAGCGGGGTCGCCTCTCCACAGATCTGACCTGTAACTCGGTCTGGTTTGGTCCCCATGAAGATCGAAAGGTTTAATACCATATTGTGGAACATTCTGGACAAATCAATAACATTTCCATGAAGAAAACCATTTGACAGACTCCATCAAAAAATTGACACAATGCATCGTTAAAACTAGAGAACCAGAGTATTTTCAGTTTCCCAAAGCGTCATATAGTGACTCACATTTTCTTATGGGATTAAGACAGCGTGGAGCGGTCTGCTTTTACAATACACTTACTGGGGAAAAACAGAATCAACATTATTTACGAGAAAAAAAATTGTGTACTTCAGCTTCAATGCTCCTCTTTATTTAAAATGTAAACTCTAAACAGAATCATACCTTTTAAACATTTATCTCAAATATAATCTAAGTTTAGGAATTTTCGCCTAAATCCGTGTAGCCTTAAAGGGCCTATATTATTATATTTCCTGGTAAATTTTATAATGTTGTTTCCTAAGCGTTTAACACACAAACCCTGCACATTTAGTAGGGATGTAACAATATCCAAATTGCAATATTTTGTAGAGGTTAACAAAACTGTGAACATGCTGCTTTTTCCTTTTAAAATGACTTAACCCAAAGAACTAAGACTTAAAAGTGCTTAGAAGAGTTATTGCTTCATGTAGTCTGCACTGAAATGGATTAAAGGATCATGGTCTATGTAGTTCCCTCTGTTTTTTTTGCGTTTGCAGCACCATAACTATAAATATGAATTAAGAGACTTGTGATTCGATATATATTGCGATGGAAAAACGATCTTATTGTGAGATCTTTGACGATGCAAGATCACGATCTTTCGGTTATTGTTACATCCCTAATATTTAGGCTGAGTTCTTCTCTCAAACAGAAAACACTGTGTTCCACCTTGTGATGTCATGTGCTCCACCGTTTTAAATCACATCCACTAGAATGATTTGGATCATTTCAGTCCTGAAATTACCAATCTCTACTAAACTAAAGGTAAAAGGAGCTGTTAACTTGAAAATACAAGGCGGAAAGGAGCATTTTGAACTTCTGAAATGAAATTAAATTAGAGATGTAACGATATGCATCTTACGGTACAATATTTAACGCGATATTTTAAAGAGGCTAATATAAAATTGTAGATGGGACACTTTTTTGCTTCTAAAATACCTTGAGAAGATTTTGGTATGAATTATTTCCATCATTATCCCAAGAATTCCAGTAAAAAACCTATTTCTTCATGTTGTCTGCACTGAAATGAATCATGGGATATGTAGTTTCTGATGCTTATAAGCTGTTGCTATAAAAACATGCATTTAATTCAATATACTGTGACAGTCCATGATATTATTGAGAGACTTTTGACGATACGATATCACAGTATTTCGCAGTATTGTTACATCCCTTGCAGGCATAATGAGTAACCTTTTATTATCAGTCTAACAGCGTTATAGCATGGCTTAAAGTTCACAAGAATCCATTGTGCGTGATATAGGACCTTTCACAGTGACACTCACACCAGCTGGACATGGCCTTTTTACACTCCCATTAGAAAACACACGGCTGTATTCAAACGTATGATCTGAGAGTACAGGCGGGTCCAGCTGCACCGGGGCCCTCACTCATTCACAGACACATTGACCCCTCGCTCTCCTTCTATCTACACCCCCCCTCTCTCTCCCTTTCTCTTTCCCTCTCTCACTCTCTCCCTCCCTTTACTCCCCCCCTCCCTCGCTCTCTCCGCATGCCCCGCTCCGGCTCCTGTTTCCTGTTGGGTGCTAATCATGTCTAACTCTTCTGTCGTTCACTCATTAGACCAGAGCAGTTCTCTCAGTAAAGTCATTAAGAACACTATCCCTCTCTCACTGAACTCCACCACAGCCATTAAATAACTCTCCGCCTCTCCCATTTACACTTATAGGACACTGCATTCACGCTGATATAAAGTAGAACTGTTCTACCTAAAGGTGGGACATACTGACAAAATATATGAATGTATATCTGAATATTTTTGGACTATCTTGGCAGGAATAATCAATAAAAAATGTCAATTCAACAGAAATGCATTACAACGTCTATTTAAATGTAGTTGAGGTTTAAGTTTCAGACAAATGAGAAATGACTACTTACAGATGGATCGATGGTAAATGGCAAATAATCACATTTTTATATAGCGGTTTTCCTTTACATCAAGGAACCACTCACACATTCACACACACTTTCATATACCAGTGTACACAGACACTGGGACATGGTGGGTGAAGTGTTTTGCCCAAGGACACAACATTCATACGCTCCAACCTGCGGGTCAATGGATCTGAGGGCTTAACCAATGATATTTTATGTCAAGAGAGAGATTTGAACCTTTAGATCAGTGAACAAACGCTCAACCAACTGAGCTACTTTTTTTTTTTTTTTTTTTTCCATGGCAGACACCGATACCGATTTGTCAGAATCCAGAGACAGCATGGTTTATCATTTTTGGCCAATATCGAAAACCGATACTGTCATTTATGTCAGCAAATGAATAAATAGTAGGGGTGTAACGATATCTAAGTCTCACAATACGATATCGTCACGGTATGAACCTCACGATAAGATATTTATTGCGATATCGTGGGAAAACTCACGATATGGTGATGAGGCGCACAATTAGGGATTTAACAATGTCCAAATCTCTCGATACGATATTTTTACGATATTTATTGCGATATTTTGTGAAGGCTGCGAACAAAACTGTGAACATGCTTCTTTATCCTCTTAAAATGCCCTGACAAGATTTAATCCAAAGAATGAAGACTTAAAAGTGCTTAGAACCGTTTTTCTTCTTGTAGTCTACACTGAAATTGAGCAAAGGATCATGGTCTATGTAGTTCCATCTGTCTTTTAGTTATTCCTGCACCGTAACTCCTAATTTAAGCAAAGAGACTTGTCATTCGATATACTGTGATGGTCCATGATATTATTTTGAGGACTTGGACGATACGATATTGTGATAATTTGGTTATTGTTACATCCCTTATAAATAGCTAAATAAACACTAGACGTTTAGTATTTGACCAACTACAGCTCAAATGTTACAAAAAAACCTCCAAAAAGTCTGTATAGCAATCATCACAGACGTCGGTGTTCCTTCTTAATTTCTTTTCAAGATTCCAACAATGAATCTGTGTCATTGTGATTTGACCTTTCCTGTCCCAACCAGCCCCATACTGTGGCTTCATTAGTCATTACGGGTGAAGTGTTTTGCCCGAGGGCACATTAACAGCATGCGTTTTGTGAGGCTTGAATTGCTCACCCGTTGACTGTCTGGCAGATGTTTAACCCACTGCACCGTATCACCCAAACACAAGAATATATAGTTTAAAAAGAGTTGGGAGTCATAGGGTCCCTCATGATTCGATATAATACTCGATACATGGCTCACGATACGATACAATATTATCACAATATGGCAATACATGCGAAAATCAACATATTTCACATCATACTTTGTGGTATATATTGCTGTTTTTAAAGACCCAAATACATTTTAGCAGAACTATTTTCCTTTGTTAAACCACCACTTATGTAAAGTTAAAATTAAATCTATTCTTTCTATTTTATCATCAAAACAGTGAATATGTCAAGAGCATCACAAAAATATGTTTCCTTTCTCTAAATAAGCAACAAAACTGAAATGTGGTCACAAAAAAAACTGCTAAAAGATTAAAAAAATAAAAAATACTCTTGGCGATATATCGATACAGCAACTCACCGTAACAATTCTGTATCAAAAAATTTTTAATATCAATATTTCAATATTTTTACACACAACTAGTCTGTAATATTAAAGATGCACTATGTACCTTTCTGGTTGGGGGTCTGTCACCTGCCTGTTTCTATGGAGATGTCATTGCTGTGCCTGAAATGTTCCACAGTATGACATTAAACAGATCTACCTTATATTTATTCAATTAAAAGTGGTTTTATAGCTCAAAAAAACCTAGAAAAATAGAAATTCTGACTGTGAGCGGGGTCGCCTTTCCATAGATCTGACCTGTAACTAGAAAGATAGAAAGGTTTAACGTCAGGGTGTGAAACATTCCAGACAGACGGACACTCCAACAGAAAATTTACACAATGAACCTTGAAGAAAAAAAAAAAAAAAATCTGCTAATATTACCCAGTCCCAACATCTATCAGTCCTGGTCCAGAGGAAGCAGTTCTCATTTCCTCTTGTTTGACACAATAGGCTCCTGTCACCGCTCTGAGAACTTCAAACTGGTCTGAGACTGATCCTGGGTCAGCTTGTCTGGGAAATAGTCCCGGTCTGAGGAAGTCCTGGTCTTTGATAGCTTCCTGGATTTAACCTGAATGAGTATAGGAAGCATATCAATGGAGTAAGCCTGTCACGATAACCAAACTTGAAGTAAAAATAGACGATACATAATAATATTGAAAACCAAATTGTAAAGCAGAGTTATCCGCCAAAAAGTAGTCTACAATTCTACAACACTGTTAAAGGTGCATTGTGTAACTTTTCTGGTGGAGGGTCCGTCAAATACTTTTCTCTCCAGACCAAATTTCAGGCCAGACAGTCAGAATGTCTGTTTTTCTAGATATTTTTGCGCTATAAAACCATCTGTAAAGTGGTAAAATGTAAGGACGAGCTGTTTAATGTCATATTGTGGAACATTCCAGGCAGAGAAATGATGTATCCATAGAAACATGCAGTTGACGGACCCCCAATGAGAAAAGTTACATGGCGCACTTTTAAGATTTGAGCTCTAGATCATTGAGTTATGAACTAAACCAGGAGTGGGTTTTGACTCGTGGGCCAAAAGGGCTCTAAAATTTGATGGAAAGGTCGGCCCATAAGCAGATGGAAGGAGGTTTTTGGTAATCCACCTCATAAGAGAAAAAAACACACTAATAATTATTGAAATATTCCAAAAAGCATTACAACAAAATATCTGTCTTTTAAGTCCCAGAGTTTTTACTATTTACTGAAATTACCTTTAAAACACAAAAAATTATTATTATTATTGTTATTCAAGTTTGGCAGGCCAGATTAAAAAGATTAAAGGGCCGCATATGGCTCCTGGGCCGTGGTTTGCCCACCCCTGAACTAAACTATTTATGGACTAATTACTTACCATTAGGGATGTAACGATATACAAATTTCTTGGTACGATATTACCACAATATGCCTCTCAAGGTATGATATTTATTGCGATATTTTGAAGAGGTTGATATAATTGTAGATGGGACACTTTTTTGCTTTTAAAACACCTTGACAAGATTTTGGTGTGAATTATTTCTGTCATCATAATCCCAAAAATTCTAGTAAAAAACATGTTTCTTCATGTTGTCTGCGCTGAAATGAATCATGGGATATGTAGTTCCCTATGTTTATTAAGACGTTTACTTCTATAAAACCATGCATTTAAGCAAAGAAACTTGTGAAATGATATATTGTGACAGCTCATGATATTATTGTGAGACTTTTGACGATATATCACCACAATATTTTGGTTATTGTTGCATCCCGAATTTACTATAGAAACTACTATAGAAAAGGTCCCTATGATAAAATGATTGTTCCATCTTCAAATATTGAAGTCTATATAGTAATTATCATGACATACTGTACCTACGAAGCTAAAAGCAATCCCCAACCACCTAGAATAAATAAACAGTATTAGTCACTGAGCGAAAACTGTATTGAAATAGTGTGACTTGGTGGGAAAGTGTCAGCTGCTCTTTAATTATCCTCAGACCCCTTCACTGTCGTCTGGAAAAATGAGCCCATGCTGTGTTTAAGACTGAGGCGTTTAATGACCCGCACAGAGAACGGGACATTTATTATTTATCATCCACAGCCACACCACAAGAAACTCCAAATGCCAAACTGGGTACAGCAACTATTTATAATAAACACCAGCAGACAGGTCAGGACTGTGTGGAGAAGAGACTCTTAAAAAGGTGGTAATGGTCTTATGTTACACAAAACTGACTCTTAAGAGATTTAAGCCATGTTATAATGTTGTTACCTCGTCAAAAACAGACCTGGAGTTGTGTTTTGTTTCATTCAGACATGTTTGAATAACCCATCCAAAGCTCAAAACGCTCCATTGCACCTTGTGATGTCATGAAGCAGTAGTTTTCATAGCTGCTTGTAGTTTTTGTTCAGTAGAGATTGGCAAGTCCAGGGCTGAAATTATCCAAATAATTCTAGCGAAGGTTTAAAAACACAGTGGAGCACTACCTGTATAACCACATGACATCACAAGGGGGAACAGAGTGTTTTTTATTTTTTAGTGTGAATGAAACTAAACACAACTCCAGTTAGGGCTGCTTGATTATGGAAAGAATTTTCACGATTAATCACGGTTATTCAAACAACTATTTTTTTGTTACACAATGCATTTATTCAGCATTTCTCTCCCTCTCAAAAAAACAAAACTTTGTTATTGATAATTTACACAAAACTCTCAAACTGAAAATAAAGGGTTTTTTTTTACAAATATGAACCTTAGAGCAGTTTTGCGATGTATAAAAAATAAAATAAATAAAATATACTTTGAAACATGAAATAAGGCATAAAAAAACAAATGTATCCAAAATAAACTATATAACCAGCTGTTCTACAATCTCTATATTCAAAAAACAAAATATATATATACTTATTTATATAAAAAAATGTTTTAATTGTTTCAACTCTATTATATGGTTTGGTAGTTTGGAGATCGTTTCACACACAAATTGAAATCGTGATCAAAATTGGATTAATTTCACAGGATTATTTAACTTTTCTGGTGGATTATTTCTCTTTCTCTTATGTCTTCATGAAGATGTTATTACGTGATCTGTCTGGAATGTTCCACAGTATGGCATTAAACTTTTTGAGACCACCAGGCCAAGTTACAGGTCAAGTCTGTGGAGAGTGAGATGTTGTTGTTGTTGTTTTTTAAGTATTTTAGTAATAAGACAACAGTTACTGAATAAATGCAAACCAGATTACAGTTTAATACTACAAATTTGTAATAATAATTAATAACATTCGCTGCTGGATTAGGTTTTCAAAGACTTCATTTTATAAATCAAACTGCAAGTATATTCTCATGTTGGGGTGTTATGGTGCAGTGGGTTAAACATTTGCCAAACCATGAGGGGGTCAGTAGTTTCAAACCTACCAAATGCATGTTGTCATTGTGCCTTTGGGCAAGACACTTCACCGCAATGACTCATGAGGTCATACAGTGCTTTTTTAATACCTCTGTAATCATGGACCTATCCACATCAAATAGAAAGTTTAGTATCTTATCTATCAAATTAAAGGACCCATATTAAACAAATGGTTTCTTTTGAGCTTTAAGCCATGTTATAATGTTGTTCCCTCATCAAAAACAGACCTGGAGTTGTGTTTTGTTTTATTTACACATGTTTGAGTAATCCTTTATTATTAGTCTCCAGAGCTCAAAATGCTTCTGTTCCACTTTGTGATGTCATGTAGTGGTAGTTTTCAAGTTAACAGCTCCTTTTATCTTGAGTTAGTCAGTAGAGATTGGCATTTCCAGGGCTGAAATGATTCTAATGAAGACGCATGGAGCACTTCCTGTATTACCCATGACATCACAGGGTGGAACAGAGTGTTTTCCGTTTGAGCGAAGAACTGAGAAGCCTAAATATGAAGGATTTGTGTGTTAAAACGTGTGAATGAATCAAAACACAGCTCTAGGAACGATTTTGATGAGGAAACAGCATTAAAACAGTCAAAAATAAGCGTAATATAGCGTAATTTAAACGTATATATGCCTTCAGTGTTGGGGAGTAACAGATTACATGTAACAGAGTAACAGATTACATGTACCAGAGTAACAGATTACATGTACCAGAGTAACAGATTACATGTACCAGAGTAACAGATTATGAGTAACTGTATTCGGTTACAGTTACTGTTTAAGTGAGTAGTAATTAGATTACAGTTACTTGGTTGAAATAACTGGATTACACAGAGGTATTTTCCTGTTTTCACATTTTGGGCTATATCCCCCTTTTTTTTTTTTTTTTTTTTTTTTTTTGGAAACTAAAAATCAGGTCTAAATCCAGGTCTAAATCCAGGTCTAAATCCAGGTCTAAATCCAGGTCTAAAACCCAGGACTAAAACCAGGACTAAAACCAGGACTAAAACCAGGACTAAAACCCAGGTCTAAAACCAGGTCTAAACCCAGGTCTAAACCCAGGTCTAAACCAGGTCTAAACCCAGGTCTAAAAAAAGGACTAAAACCAGGACTAAACCAAGACTAAACCAAGACTAAACCAAGACTAAACCAGGACTAAACCAGGACTAAACCAGGACTAAAACCAGGTCTAAACTATGTCTCAAACAGGATTTAACAGGACTAAACCATCCTCTTCTATCAATAATATTTTTAATACGGTTAAGTAAAGTCTGAGCTTTTTATTTTCTTTTAGCAGACAAAACTTCTTATGTGAAGATTTCCTCATCTCTGCTTCTCTACAGCAAACCAAGTAATCCAAAGTATTCAGATTACATTACTCCCTTTAAGTAATTTAATGGATTACGATTACAAACTACATTTTGGTGTATGTAATCTGTAATCTGTAGGGGAATACATTTTAAAAGTCACCTTCCCAACACTGTATACCTTGTTTAGTTAAAGTTATCTCTCTGATTACAGACATTTGTAAAAAAAAAAAAAAAAAAAAAAAATTATTTTCCAACCGTCTGTTCGGATTTTCCCAAAGGTGCCAGCATTACTTCAGGGCACTGTAAATCACGCGCTGTACAAACCTCATTGTTTAGATAACTTTGTACATTGTAAAATTGAAAAGGTCAAAAGGAAGCGTCTCCACCTTCTGCTCAGATTTAAACCTTTTTGTCTCACGAGGCGTCCGTCCAAAGTCCAGAGCCAGCAGTAAATTATGAATCCTGTATTTAGCGCTGTGTAAATAAACCGATATGGGTGATCTATTGCGTTTTAAAGAGAACACACGTTTATTACGCCATTTTCTGATTTATGTTATAATGTTTCCTCATCACAAACATACCTGGAGTTGTGTTTAGTTTCACTCACACATCTTTAATTAACACTCAAATCCTGCATATTTACGCCGACTTCTTCCCTCAAATAGAAAACGCTCTATTCATGTGGATAATTTCAGCTCTTGAATTGCGAATCTCTGCTGAACGAAATGTAAAATGTAGCTTGAAAACTGATGAACAGACTAAAAAAAAGATCACTCAAACATGTGCGAACGAAACAAAACACATCCCTAAGCACGTTTTTGAGGAGATAACAACTTTCTAACATGACCGAAAGCTCACAAGAGTCAATTTTGTAAC